ATTTGGTATGAATCATTAGTCTAATTCAGGACACTGGATTATTCTGGAAAACAATCTAATCTTATCACATATGAATCAAATCAAATCTCTACATCTAAGATGCAGATAACCCAAATTTAGATATGTTGTCTGTCAATTTTATAGCATTGCACTGACAGAGCAGATGAAGTATGTGAACACCAAGCTGGCTATGCCAGAAATTCCTAGAACTCTTCAACTAGGCCAGGATAATTTCTGGCACCTGGTCTCCAGGCATCCAGAAATTAAATCTCAATGCTAAGCAATCTGAAATGTTTATTTTAACATTTAAGAATGGGTTTCTTTCTGCCAATGCTATACTTACCCGGCTGAGACCATATTCATCCAACTCATCTGGAGGAACACCATAATTGCCAATCAGTGGGTACGTCAGTACCAAGATCTGGGATTTATAGGAGGGATCTGTCAGTGCTTCAGGATAACCCACCATGCCAGTCTGGAACACTGTAGATTCCAAGAAACGATACAAATTGGATTAGTGATCCTGGCAAAAACCCATATTGGTTTTGGCAAATGACTCTCCTGCAAACCAGGCCTAAGAACTGAATAATCTTTCTCCAGCCCATTCGTAGTTGTTACTTCAGTCCTTTAGCGCTCTGCTGCATCTGGCAAAAGGAGCATTTAAGGGAAAGAAATCAGATGCGACATCAGCAGCCTTTTCAGAAGACTGGATAGAGTGGACTGCTGACCTGTCCAAATTTCTCTAGGAAACATCAAAGCAAATGCAGGGATCTATATACTGAGCTCGTCACCTTTTTATCTCTGTTTGCAGTTTACCCAGTGTGGAATCCCAGGCCATATCGCTATATTCACTTCTACAGCTGCACAATATTCCTAACATAAAAAAGGCAGAGCCAAGATAAACAATTATCAGCAACTGCTCCATTCTCACAATTTCCACATCCAGAAAATCCATCTTGAACACACAGTCATGATGTTTGTCACATGGAACAATTCAATACCAGGTTTCTAGTGCCATAGACTTTTCAAAGATGGAGGAACACACTATTACAGAAGCATTAAGAATGCTGCTGCTACTGTTTAGTACAAGAAGGGTTTTTTTTTCACTGAATAAGCTGAATTCTCATGATTGTAAGAACTTGTAGGATACACAGACTTCTCAAAGCACCTCTTACCCATTTGGCACTCTCTTCTATCCATGTCTGCTTTTTCCTCATCATATTCCTGATATGAGCTTTCTACTATCAGTACAGCTGTCTCCTTACCAGGAGAGAATGTTCTCCATGCTATAGCTTTTTATTAAAAAGATAGTGGTACATGGGAGGAGCTGCAGCTGGATTAAACTAAAGGCCTAACTAAAACTTAGTCTCTACAAGTATCAATATTGACTATTCTTAGTAAGCAATCTGTCCCGCCAAATAGTGCTGAAATTTTAGCCAATATGAACATTGGCTAGAGTCTAGATCATGATTGTAGATCAACATTCAAGGGCTTCCAGTTTCTAAATCCATCCATGCAAGACTGCTTTAAGGATTACAACTAAATAAATCATATGATGTGCTCTGACCACTCAAAACTACTACACAAATGTGTATTATTGTGGTTCTGTTGTCATTATTGTGAGTCCTATAAAAGCTTGAGTTATCCTCTTGATAGTGACATGTTCTCAGATTCTGGACTTGCCTTCTTCAATAGAAAGGGTACGAGGAGAAGATCCACTTTGATTCACTGGCTTCAACTAGATATTTTATACTTTTTAGCAATCAGCAAACCAGATATGACTACACTCAGCAATAGAAGAACCATTCTATTGGATGAGAACATTGATCTGTTCTGTCCAGCAGCCTGTCCTCAAAACAGCCAACTAACTGATTCAATGTCTTCTAAAAGTCTGACACAACAGCACACTTTCCTTGTGTTATACATCACATGGCACTGAGAGGTGTATGTTGCCACTATTCCCAAAGCATAACTGGCATAATTTGAAGCCAGCAAGAGCCTCGATCTTCATGAATTAGCACTTCTCTTTTCTTAAAAGTTTTTTTTTCCCCTGGAGGGCCATCATCATCATCGTAGGGCATAGAATAAGGAGTGACAATTCCTTATTTGCTCTTTTGAAACCTTTCAGGTGATCATGTTTCAAAAACACCTTGGGAACTATTGGTGTAGGTAAGCAGAAGGATGAACCCAGACAGGATGATACTTTCTAATTTAACTGAACTGGGAATGAGCCTGATCTAGTTCCAAGATCAGCAATGTAACAAGCGGGAGAAAAGTCTAGGGGCCTGACCAGGCAAGAAGAGATGTGGTCTTGTCAGGTCTATCACAGACAGCTGTGCTACCAAGTCTGGGCATGTTTCAAAGGCACTCAAATAGCCTGAGGCACATTTGGGGATCCAACAACGGGTCAAAGGCGCCTGCTGAGCAAATGGGCATAACGACAGAAGACAGGACCGTATCTCGACCTTCTCTACATTAGACGGAGGGGAGAGCACCGCCAGCCTTCCTTTTGCCGGAAAGGCAGAAGTACGACCGGTCAAGCAAAGAGCTTTCCTTCTCTTTCTGCCCCACTTTGGTCCTGCATGGAAACTCACCGACTTCACCCGCAACTGGAGTCCCCACGAGTCCAAAGGGACGCCCACGCAACACCGTCCCATCCTCCAGCACTAGGCTGCCCATAGCTCGCTTTTAACACGTGGAGGACGACGGCGGGATGGGATGGCTCGGAATTCCCGGCGGCGGGGAGCGGAGGTGGGTGGGAAGAGAGCGACAGAGACACACCGGGAGACAAGAGCGGGAGGAGGAAGGGGGGGAAAGCAGAGGATGCGGCCGGCGCCGGACGCACGAGGGGGAGGTGATGTGGCCGAAAGCGGTGAAAAGCGCGTTGCCAGGAGGCGGAGCCGAGCGGGTGAAGAAGGGAGGAAATGACCTGTCGAGGGGCGGCGCAGCACGAACCGAGCCGGGCACGTTTTTCTTTCGAGCTCCGCCCTGGTGGGATTCTTCTGCCACAGATTCTCTTTACGGTAGTACCGTACCTGCGCCTCGCCAGGCCCGGTCGGCACGTGCTGTAGAAGGAAAGCGCTTGCAAAAAAGCAAAACAAAACAAAACAAAACAATGCATTCTGTGGGCAGATTTTTTGCCAGCGGGCAGTTGCATTTGGCCCACTCAAATAGTAGTTGCGGGAGGACAAAAGCTACCGATAGAACTGAGATTTTAATTGTGAATGTTTTAACAGCGGCTAGAATTGTTTTTGCTAAAAATTGGAAAGGCGAGGAGATACTACTGATGATGAAGTTATTAAGAAAATTATGGACTCTGCTGAAATGAGTAAACTGACATTTGAAATTGGAGAACAGGAAGATAAACAATATTATTTGATTTGGGATTTGTTTTACCAATGGCTAGATAATAAAGCATGGAGAGGAAATATGAAATTAATGTAATGATAAAATATATGAAACGTTTTCTTACGTTAAATAATGGTTATATGAGTATAATAATACAAAGGGTTATATAAAACTGTTAAATAAGAGAAATTAAATATTGGTAATTTTGGATATGGGATTGTACACAAAAGAATTTCCAGCGATCGACACATTGTCTGTAATTGTGTTTGAATGAGGGTGGTTTTATGTTTTGTTTTTGTTTTAAATAAAAAAAAAATTCAAAAAAAAAAAGCTACGATATAAGAGAATATTTGTAGCTGGGGTTGAACTGTGGGGTCCTTGATGCTCTCTTGAGCTTGCTTGGTATCTTGCAAGACATTTCATTATCAAACTGTAAGGTAAGCACTCATGCTAACACTGGTTATCTGGTTATCTGGTATCCGCCCATTCACTCTCAGTGACTGGGTTGCTTACAAAGAATAAAAGCCTAATCTAAAAGAATAAAAAACAATATGCCCACCCCACTCCATGGGGGTGAAATGTTTGCAAGAAAACAACCAAGCTCAGAGAGCATCAAGGACCCCACAGTTCAATACATTAATAGGAACACATTAATTTTCCTTCCTCCTATTTTCCCCTTCAACAACGACCCTGTGAGGTTGACTGGCCCAAAGTCATCCAGCTGGTTTTTCATGCCTAAAGTGGGACTAGAACTCCAGGCCCCTGGTTTTGATATCCAGGGGGAAACCCATGCAGTGTTTTACACTCAGTTGAAATTAAAATTGCATTAGTATGTGTAACACTGCTGCTTAAATAAGCTACATGATTAGAGATGGCCCAGTTTCATCAAGTACATAAGGGTTCGACTAGAGTTTACCTCGTGATGTCATAATACATATTGGATCAATTGCCTTCTGTTCAGAGGTAGATTCTGAGCCTGGCCATGTTCCCAGCCAACCAGTATCTTGAGTTGAAACATACATTCACAGAGGTAAGGCTGAATTTTGGGCCTATAAACATAAAGAGGTTCCCTGTAATCCATTCTTCTAGCTGGGAAAAAGCTTTGTGTCTTATACAAAGACAAAGGGCAGAATCCTGAAGATGCAGACTAGAAGTTGCTATGCCTTATCTGGGATAAATGATATAAAGCTAAAAGTAATTCTGATATATGTTTGAATTTACCCCCCAGAAATTAGGGCAGATCTACAGAAAATATTTTGTTTCAAGATTCAAATAATTCGTATATAAATAAATGTTTTTAGCTAGGAATTGTTAGATGTTTATTTTTTTTATGTGTATTAAAAGCCATCTGATTTTTATTTCTCTGTGCAAATGTAAATTCATAATTTAAATGCAGTGTCCCTCAACACAAATTATAGCACTCCAGCACCATCTTGTGGCCTAGCAAGAACTTTGTATTTTTGCAAATAGGATTCACATACTGTTGCTTTTGAAATTGGGAGGTGGGGGGAAGACTTAATTTTTTATAAAATTCGTTATGTCCAAAGAATGGTAGAAGAATGGAAATCTCTATAGCCACCTGTGATTATGCCACAGTGTCAGGAAGCTGTATTATAGAAAATATTTCATTTCAATTTTTTTCCAATTCTTACTTTTATTTGTATAACTCCATAGTAGTTATGGAACAATAACAACCAAGCAGTAATACCAAGGCAAGGAAACAGTGAACTGAGGATCCAAAAAATACCTACTTATCCATTGCCTAGAAAGACCCATCATTTCATAATCTCCCAATTTGTACACTGGTTCCTTTTACACTATATCAAACTGACTGTCTTAACAATTAGAATGTCAATAAAGGGAAAAGAGGGGGAAATTAGATTTCTAGCTTTTCTGTTTTTGTACTTTCCCTATCAATTACTTTACAGCATTTGTAAATATTTAGAAGCCAGACTGTAATTATATTTACCATGCTGTGATATATTGTGTGAATGGAAGCAAATCTTCTTTAAATTTAAACTCAATTATGCTGCTAATTTTGTCATTACTGCATATTCTCTGAGTTTAAATTCCCAGTTAAATATTGTCAGGATTATATCTTCTTTCTAGTAAATTTTGGTCAAAATTTATTCTTATTGCTGTGATTTTATATATTTCTCATCAAATTGTTTCTTCTTGGAGTTTTGTGAAATTATGTCTTTTAAGAAAAGTTTGATTTCAAAGTACATCCAAATGTTCCTAATAGCTGAAAAGCAGCTAACCAATTTCTGAAAATGATTAGTAAAATGAAGTATATGAACCTGGTGCACTTTAAAGGCACCATCCATGGTTTGAGCAAGATGGTCTTCCAGAGGTCTAAACCAGCAGGAATCTTCGTTTTGAAGTCTTCTCACAAGGAGAATATACTTGCTGGCTCTTCATTCCGACACAGTTGTTGGTACTAAAGTATATTCACTTTCATAATTGTAATTGATCTTATCCAGGATACCATTAAATTCTTCCATCTCTTCGATTTCTTGCCATAATTTGACATGGTTATTTGTTATATTTTTCTTGTTGACTTTTCAAAATTGACTACATTATACATCTGACCTTCTCTGTACATACTCATTGAAACCAAATTCCTTGTTTATCTGAGCACATTCCTAAGCCTCAAAACTGAGCAGATGGAATGTAAAACAATCCAGAGCAGACATGCTATGAAATCTTCTCTGGTTTATTGATTAACTGAAGCCGCTTTTTCCTTACAGTGCTGCTGCCCTGATTATATACATTTTTGCCTAACTCAGCAATCTCCAGAGAGCCAAGGTTGGATTTATTTATTTTTGCAAATGGGAAGTAGATGTGGATCAAATCCTTGGAACAATGTGTCCCAAAAATACATATCCCAAGGAAGTTTTATTTTAAAAAAAACAGTTTAAATCAGTTATTAAATTGATAAGCTAATGGTTTAATTTAAACAATCATAGTTACTACATGAATCAGCTAATTGTTTAATGAAAACAATGGTTTTAAATAATCACTTTTCAAATACTTGGTATACAGCATTGACATGATTTAAAAGCTTAGGGAATCTTGCACGAACAGAGGACAGTGGGCTGAATAGACATCAGTCTTTTAACAATGAAGGAGAGAAAGAAGCAAAGCGTTCAAGGATGAGTATTGTTCAAACACAGAATCACATTACTAGTTCAACTTTGGCCTGGAATGCAGACAGATAGTTTTTCCAACGGCTTCATGATTTGTAGAAGACATTTGAAGAAAGAGTGCAAACTTGCAACCTTTCTGTAACAGGCATGAGTGGAAAGAACAGCAGGTGATTTGGAGTAATCGGGTCCCAGAAAAGAGTAAAGGCTAGAGAAAGAAACATGCTTCAGTTATTTATTAAAATAAACCTTTACATTTTAAGGCAGGAAAACAACTGGGTACATTAATGGTAGAATCCAAGAGGTGTCCTGAAGTAACAGGAGCAAGGATGGGATTGAATGTCTCATAAGCTCTCTTTTGAACATTCCAGATCCAGAAAAACTTCCCCTGAAAAAGAGCACCCATATACTGCTTCTAACTAGCACTTTTTCTCAGGCTCCCTGCTTCTAATAGTAGAAGAAAGAAATCTGGATTAAGCCCTAAAGAATCAGGAGTCACACAAGCACTGGTTTTTGTCATATCCAGACACAACCCTGATTAGTTGTATTTACTTTATTAGAAATTAAATGTACACTCCAAAGAATATCTAACATCCAATAAGACATTAATTTCCCCCAGTTCTCTTTTTATAGTTTATTGATAGTCCCAATTTGTATGCATTGGCAAAGCAACCGGTCTCGTTGAAAATAATATGTTCCTGTACATTAACTGCTACAGTGTTCTCCCATGTGTCCGAACATGTAACAGAGTGTAACCACTCTGACAGGCTCTAATCTAAAAATTATTTCCCCCAGAAAAATTGGGAACCATCAGTTCCAAAACCAAAGGTAACAACAGACAGCAGATAAGACTTGTAAACTAGCACCTCCTTTGTGCAGTGTTGGTGGGCCTGGAGAATGGAGAGGCCACTAAACGGTTTTGGCTTTGTGCCGCTGGGTGATCCAAAGGAAGGTGGAGAGAGTGATAGTGATGGCTCCCAAAGTTCCGAAGAACAGCAGGTATGGAAAATTGCCCTGAAAGGTAAAGGTAAATTAGAAGGCTTTTTCTAATTTGATTAGCTCACAAAGATTCCTTTTCATCAGCCTCAAAGTCTTGAATCAAATGGGCTCTAGCACAGCTTTTACCAAACTGAAGACCTTGAATGCTGTTGGATGTTAGTGTCCAACAACCTCAGCGAGAAGAAGGCAGTCCTAACACAATGTAATGATTATTCCCAGTTGAAATAATCTATTTCAGTGGTGTTAAGCTCAAGGCCTGGGGGCCGGATCTGGAGATCTGGCTTGTGGGGCTGCCCTGGAAACAGTGAAGGATCGGCCCACGGTGCCTCTGCCAGCAAAAATGGAGCTCGGGAGGGCTGTGGGCAGCCCTCCCGAGCTCTGTTTTCGCTGGCAGAGGATTGCAGGCCATTGCAGCTGAAAATGGAGCATGCAAAGGGCGTGGGTGGCCCTTCCAGCTCCATTTTTGCTGGCAGAGGGTTGCAGGAGAGTTTCGCAGCCAAAAACGGAGCTCGAGAGCCTGTTTTTGCTGGCAGAGCGCTCGGGCCACCACAGGCGCTCCCAACACGAGTGAAGTTGAGCTGGCCACGCCCACCCTGGCCACACCCCCAGGTCAAACACAACCCTGATGCGGCCTTCAATGAAATCTGAGTTTGACACCCCTGATCTATTTCATTAAGAGCTCTTATTTTGCCCAAGAGCCCCATCTCCTTGTACCAGAAGAAAAGCATATGGAGCACAAATCCCATCATAATCAAAGACCAACTTACCTGGCGCAAACATTTATAGCCATGGTATGGATCTACACAGAGGCACTGGGACAAGCCGGGTCCATCAGAAGTACAAAGCGATCCCTCTGGACATACCCAAACTGTAGAGAAAGGAGGTGGAGGGGAAAGGGTGAGGATATCCTCTCACTTTTCAAATCTCATTCCACAAACAGCACAATTCACAGCTTCTTGTCTTTAGTTTTCTTTCAGTCTCTTCCACACCATTAATACTTTGCCTTCCATTTGCAGAGCTGACCTTTTTCTGCCCACCTTAAACCTTTCTGCCAAAACCACCTATTTTTATCTTCCTAAGATTCGGGACGTGAGGACCTCGCTGCCCTCACTTCAAGTCTTTTGCCTCCTACTACTATTGATGATATCTTTTTGTACAAGGTGTGTTTCATGTAGCAAATATTTTGCTCAATCTACTCAGGATTAGGACTAGCCCATAAAACGCTAATGCTAAAATCAGAAGTAGATTCCACTGGAGAAATATGTAGAAAAGCCACCTCCTCCCCCAGCTGCAGTTCATTTCTGAAAAATAAATTTCAGAAATAATAGCTAAGCAAGAACACTGATATCATGCAAAAGAACTTCCTGCTGGATAGTCTTTTGCTGCCCTTAACAGAACTGCCCAAGGCAACTGTGCTGTTTGATAGTAATAATTAAGAGTTATATGTTATCAATGAAGAAATAGAGTAAGATGAAAAAAATCAAAACCTCAACAGCCAAATTCAGAACTCAGATTAATATCATATAGTATTTAGCTACCTCATTGACATCAACATACAAGAGATAGCAGAGTGGAAACATGAAATTTGAGAGTTGCTTCGTGTTTATTTCTGTTTGCCTTCCTGTAGCTATTTCACTGCAGGGGAATTCTAGACTTTGTTCTATGTTTGCAGACTGCAACAAAACATACAGTGATAAGAGTGACTCACACCTGACTCACAGCTTTACTAATTGATGGTTAGGCTACTGCAATGTAGTAGTCTGTGGGGCTGCCTTTGAACATGACCCAAACTGCAGTGAGTCAAAATACACTGCTCAAAAAAAATAAAGGGAACACAAGCAGAAGACATTCAAGATCGGAATGACTGAAATAAACTTATTAAATACTTTGTTCGTTACATACAGTAGTTTTGTGTTCCCTTTAGTTGTTTGAGCAGTATATAAACTACTGTATGTAAAGAACAAAGTATTTAATAAGGCTATTTCATTCATTCAGATCTCGGATGTCTTCTGCTTGTGTTCCCTTTATTTTTTTGAGCAGTATATATTGGGTAGGTTTTTAGCAGATAAGAACCATTACTGTAGAATTAACTCCTATTCTTCAGTTACCGCATTGGCTGCTAAGAAGCTTCTAAATCAATCTTCTGGTTTTGACCTTTTAGTACCACCTCCTCCAATATGATTGTGGCTGTCTCTCATGCTCTTCCAGGAAATGGATATTAATGGTCCCATTCCTAATAGAGTTTCAGTAAGTCTAGCCCTGGAGACAATCATTCTCTGAGGGTCCTCAACCCTGTGGCATACCTCAGCCTCAGAGGTCCAACAGGCAGCCACTCTTCTTTATTGTTTTTTCATAAGACTGAAAATAATTTTGTTGGAGTTTGGAGGTAAACAACTTACTTTTAGGGTCCTCATCACCAATCCCCACCTTTCTCTACCTCTTCTTAGGTGTCTACAGCCCAAGCACACAAGGTCTTGCCTAACTATATCCATACCAAGTCCCAATGAGCCATTGCAGGAGCTCCTCTGGTTTTGACAGATACGATTGTTCCCTTGGATGGTGATATTTTTCCATACTTCACTGCCTCCAGGACAATCCAGCTTCTGGGGCAAAGCACTGGGGATCAACATAAATTATATCAGAAACAGGCGAGAGGCAGATTCAATAGGATTCCCACCCCCCAAATAAATAGAACCTCAAAACTACATCCCAAATGCATAATGTTGTGAAAATAGCCAAGAAAAGCTGGATTTCTACTGAATCCTTTTAATGAGAATGTGGCAGTAATGCATAATAGGCAAGGTTATGCTACAGTTTCCATCTCCTGGTAAACCTTGCTTGGTAGGCCTTCTCTGTTGTGATGCCCACACCTTATGGAACATTCTCCCCTTATAAGTCAGTTTCATTCCTCCTTATTTTTTGGAAGTCCCTCAAGAGCACCAGTGAGATCTTGAGGTGGCTCTGTTTCTGAACAAATCTCATGTTGCATGTGTGTGTGTTTTATGTGTCTTGGTTTGACATGTTTTTATACTTTTTTGCTATATGCTAGCCAGAATCACTTCTTGTGTGGTGGATATTAATTTGATAAATGAACTCAAGTCAGCAGCCTCCACTCATTTTGCATCTGTCATCATTTACAATACTCACAGGGTCTGCAGCTGAGTGAATCCACGGAAGCGGTCTTCAGGGAGACTTTCCAATGGATTGTCAGTTAGATCACTACATTAAGAACAAGAGAATAAAGAGAATACATTCAAGGCCAATGTTGTGCTTCCTCTATGCTGTGAATGATGTTTAGTGTAGTACATCACTCTGATATCATGTCTGCTATAGTGAGACAATTCACATTTAAAAACAAGTATCTCAATCTTGAGGCTTTCCTTCTTTCCAGCTTGAAGACAGATATTACATGTGCAATTTAAATGCCCAAATACAGAATTAAAACACTTTCCAACAGCAGCTCATACAAAAAGAACACACATTCCATGGCTGTTTACATGATAAATGTAATGCCTGTATGTATCAAAGACTCACATATAAACCATTAACAAGCATCTGAGCATAAATTACTTGCAATTATTGCTGGTATTTCAGAAAGGGAAGCCAGAACCCACAAGCTGACTTTTGTCTCCCCTAGCCTCCCCTAGTGTTCAGGATGAATAAAGAACCACAAAGAGTTCTACTATTAAAAAAAAGCCTTTCAGTTCTATGTCTTGTATGGGGACTTATGAACATGATGGTACCAGTAATTCTGTCAGCTGCCACCTTATGCTTGCTTGTGCTTCACTGTGGTGACAGACTGCCATGAATTGAGGGGAGGGGAGATGAGGGGTGGAATGCTTTGGGAAACAAACTTCAGTGTGGTATCTCCACAAGACTGCTGCCTCAAGGTCACCCAATTGGAGAAAGAAGGGGGCTGCATACCAATCTGTGCTTGAACTGACCATTAGGAAAACATCTTGCCTGAACCAGAGTGGTTATACTGGGGGGAGCAATGAGAGACAGTTAAGGGAGGGAAGAGTAGAGCTTGGGAATTTTGGAATGTGATTTTCACATTCCAAGGATCATTTCTAATTAGAGGTTTAAACGGTGGCAGGTCCAATGAATTAAACTTACATGACAAAAGCTGTATTCACTTCCTGGAAGCTAGAGCACAGCTGATGCATTGAGCAGTTTCCATAATCCAACCTATAGATGAAGAGAGATAAGCAGTCCTCTTACTTCTAGTGTAAAGGACTGGGTAATTTTTATATTGGGGAGTAATAGAAAACATATTTCACAATAGTTAGGTAAGACATATCACAAACCTCAGTTATCGAATGTTATATTTCTGTTGGTATAACATTTTTTGAACAGATGCAGTAGTCAATTACACTGGTTGACTGAGTTCCCACAACATTTTTGATTCTTTTGGTATATTTATTAATTAAAATGGAACAAAGAAAAAAAACAAAATGCTGAATTCAACAATCCTAACATGCTGCACAAATCCAGATATTGGGTGGGTGACATATCAAATTGCTTGTAAAGGTTGGCTGTTGAGCAGGTATAGGGGAAATATATCAATGTTCTTTATACTCCCAGCATAAAGGGGGAAATATATTGTTCTTTATGTCTCATGGCAGCTATCCCCCCAATTTTATCCTTCACCAAAGTTCTGATCCTATCTCCTAAGTTTTATCCAACGAATGATGTTGGAGAAAAAATATTTCAGGATAATAAAGTTCATTCATACATTAATGTATTGAATAAATCAACTTGGGAAAATGAAATGATAAATAAAAGGTACACTACTTAACATTTAACTTCAACTCACATTATCCTGTCATCATAGCCAATACTAAGAGAATGTGGGAATTATCATTCAGATTATAATAACACAGATATTTTGTTCTAATTAATATTTTTCAGATTACTATCTAGGAATCATGCATAATGAGGTGCCCAGCAATTCAGGAAAAATAAAATTAGCATACAAATTCAATAACCATATATTTAGAACTCTCAGTATATTTACTGAGTATATTTACTTTATTTTACAGAAATGCATTTCTGTATTTTAACAACATACATTCACAAAACTCAACTCTCAGTAAACCTTAACATAATTAAAATCTCATCAACCTCACTCCATTATAATCATTTTACAGTTAAATTAAAACTAGATGCCCATATAAATATAATGCCAGAACTGTAAAAGGCAAATACATTTAAGGCAGCATTTTCCATAGAAAGGGAGGACCTGCCTTCTATTTCACATCCCTTACTTCCTGGGAGAATTTTTGCAATGTTGTCATATTTTCTCCCGTTTAAATAATATCTAGCTATGTCACTGTTCTCACCATTGAGAAAGAAAGAAGGAAAGATAGAAAGAAGGAAGGAAAGATTTATTTTTAAAACAGCAACAATAGTATTTTTTTTGAAAGCTCATTTTATAGGTTCTCATAATATACTTTTGGTTTAAAAAAAAAACAAAACAAAACAAAATAAGCCTTCTTAATCAGATCACGACCTCTTCAGGGCAATGGCACATTTAAAATATATTCCTAGACAATGCTTCTTGGAATCCAAAACCAGATACAATTATCTGGTTTTAGGGCTGCCTTTGGATTGCCTTGTTACCACGGTTAAGCAAAAGATAACGTACTTGGCCTCAAGCACTGTATTACAGAACACATTTTGCTAAACTGCCAGCTTGCGTCAGGCGCTGAATTATTTTCCCCATAAGCGCCGCCCGCGCCGTTGCAATTCCGGGGTGTAACCTGGCTAACTCCAGACTGGGAGGAGCCCGAATAAAGGTTAGAAACAGATCATGTCAGCTCGAATCGACTCACCCCAAAACAATCTTCTTGTCCCTCTCTAAGCAGCAGCGGCCCCGCCTAACCGTACCCACCCGGGAACCGCAGAAAACGGCTGCTGCGGACTCATTTCGCATGGGCCCAGCACAGCAGCCGCAGACCTGAAAGGAAAAGGTAGATGGAAAGCATGAAAGACCCCTCATATATCTCCCCCCTCCCGGACAAGCCGCCTCCGCCTTTACCTGCTCTAAGGTTTCTACCAGGAACCCGGCGAACGAAGGGACGACCAAATACAGGAACAGCTGGGCAACCCAGAGCCAGCTGGGCGCAGCCATGATGTATCACATGATCTCAAACTTAGTCACGTGAATCTGAATCAAAACAAGCACGAAAAGCGTGTTATTCTCTCCCAAAGAGACAATAAGGATATTGTCTCCATGTGTTGCTTAGACAGTAAATTAATCACTTTAAGAATTAAGAGCTGTCTCCTTAAGAGATTGCATTGTGGGAGATGTAGGCAGAAATTGCATTATGGGAAATGTAGTACCCGTGACGTTGACCACATCTGTGTGTCTGCCACTGAGGCTCTCTGCCTGGGTGTAGAATAAAGCCAGAGGAGAGAAACATGCTTTCTGAATATGGGGACAGTTCTACTGCTCTTTTACACTAGGAAGTGGGACAATTTTTAAATCATAATAGATTTTGTTTGATTTAGACTCAGTAAATTATATAAACTCAGCCTTTGTGATTTGTAAATCACAGTTTATAGCTTAGTATTTTATGTGAACTTAGCTTTAGGTTTATTCAATACATCATGGTTAAATTGAACTTGATTAGAACAAACCATTCTTATTCACTGAAGTCAAAATTATATTTTAAGGTACAAGGTTTAACCAGGCTGTTTGTTGTTTGCAGAGATAAATTAGTGGACTGATAATCATTTCCCCAAGGATGTCTCCCTCTCTTAAAAGTCACTGCATTTTATCACCTTGACCTTGAATGCCTATAATAAACTGTTAAAGACACATAATTGCACCAATATACTTTCTAAATTCTCCAGGAACATTCCTTGAAAAAGAGAACACTAAGTCCAAACCAAAGTGCATCTGATATCAATTCACCATTTCATCTCAGTGATCACAGTAGATTATGAAAAATAATGTTAATTGGTGCATGCTCTTATTTACTGTGTTAAGCCATCCACTTGCTCTTGTGACATTTGAGATCTAAGAAATTGCTACCACTTATTCTTGCAACCTAGATTGAAATTCAGCAGTAAATTTGATCCTATAGAAATTTGCTGCAATCAAGTCATAAAATAAATCTAGAAGTTAACACTGAAAATGAATGAAAAATCTCAGTTTTAAAGGATTCAGCAAAGTTTGGACTGTAATTCAAGTAGATTATTTTTACATTCATCTTCAGGATCAAAACATGGAGGAAAGAGTGGTTAAATCAGCCACCACTGGATCTGAAAAACACAAAAACAGATTGACATTTCATAAGGCAATTCAGAGATGGAAATATGTTAAATATATGGAAATATGTTAAAGATAGCCAATTGTCTGAAATGCTTTATTTTTCAGTTAATATATTCTATTAACTATTTTAGAGAAAATGTATAAATGAAGTGATAAAAAGTTAAATAAAACTTAATCCTATTATGGCTCAATGTGATAGCCTCGTTGATAAGTCTAAGACAATGACTAGGTTCCCACAACACAGTGAACTACAAGCTACCCGACCTCATGCTAGTCTACTGTAGACTAAAAATGTCTAACCTAACCACAGTATGTTTCTAAGAACAAACCACAGTATGTTTCTAAGAACATTCCAACATTGTTCTTAATAAATGTATTGGCACAATCCATCCACTTTGGAATGGCAAATGAAGCAAACAAAATGTTAAAAAGTTATGACATTTATGTAGTTACTTATCAAGCATATCTAAATTATATTAAAGTAACCAAAATATCTTTACAGTCCCCAAGGCAGGTCACAACTTTTGAGCACCCCTAATGTTTGGAAATTGAAAGTTGAAAATGTTGACGTGCCCTAGATGGCATTTACGGTAATTGGTTCTGGCAGTACCTATGATCTAAATTCAGCATATTTCCAGTTTAATAGAAATAGATCTGATAAACAAATAGTTCAACCATTTTTGCAAAAATTAACTGCATGTCACCATCTGAATTTTATCTTGCCCTTTAAAAAAGATAGTCCAAAAATCAAAAATATCAAGCCCTCTTAGATGAAACTAGCTTTCAATCAGCTTTTGAATTTTCTGTTAACTCCACTAGCTGTTGTCTTCTGTTCCGACTTGGAAGTAAGGTAATCACCTTCCTCTATATTTCCCTGGTTGCAACCTCTTATAGACTTAATCACTAAGAGTGCAGTCCAAGTCCAGATTTTATTTCCAATTTTCTAATGATGTAAAAGGTCTTAATAAGATTGCGATTCCTTATTAATAGTGAAGTTCTACAGTGCTAATGAATTCCTACAAACCATTGTTTTTAGGGTCAACAATGTATTGCTGAAATATCAGTTTGGGCAATTCTGGGGAAGGGTTTTTTTAGTACTACTTGGAATAAAACAGACTGTATTTTGGGTGAGCAGCTGCTAAATCTCTTGCCTTTTTAAATGAGTAGGGGGGACAAAAGATGAATATCAGTTTCCACAAGCCACGCCAGTTCATTTAAAATTCAGCAATTAGTTGTAATATCGGCTAAATGAAGTTTATTTAAATGTAAGTTATTTAACTTATATTAGCAAGCTACCCATTCTTTTGTGCGCAGGAAGAAAGTGAAAGTCAAATATTGAGTTTCACAAGGACCTCTATTAGATGCCATGAGCTTGGATACTCTGTATGAAGACCCAAAACCATCATCATGCCCAGCATAAGGGGCAGGGAATTAATTTTAGGGAATGAAGTTATTAAAAAACAGTGTCTCCCCAAGTGCAGCCCTTTTCCTTGCAGAATTGAAAAGCAATTATCAATTTTTATGGAAAAAAGGATCTTAATATTCCCAGTGCTCCATAGCCTAGCTAGAGGAAGTCCACACATCTTAAAAATTGCTAAGTTTGAGAAACACTGGTCTAGAATGAGTGAATTAGTTTCCAGCTGTTTTTGGAAATCTGACATGGTTCAGTAAAGTGAATTAGCAAATCTAGATATCTCACTGAGCAATATCTGATTGCTCACCTGCTATAAATGGTTATTAACCTGAAGGTTCTGTAATTTGAAAGTTGGGGTATAAATAGATGTCAGCTGAGGTATTTCACTGTACTTGGCTGAGAAAGACCCTGCTTCACCCTGAGAACCTGTTGGGCTGAAAGACATTGTGCTGAATCAGGTTTCTTAAATGGTTACTGTTAAAACTTGGTTATGGCTTAGTGTTGTTGAAAGAAAAAGAAGCCTTTCCCTTTAAGGGTTGTTGGAAGGCAGAGTTTTCCCTTTTCGAATTCAAAACTCCCGGCTGGGAGATTACTTCGAAATGATTGGAGGTCGGCTGCGTGAATGCCGGAATTAGTTGCACAGCGTTCCGAGGCTAGCCTGTTTGAACTATAAGAAAAACCCTTTTTTATATCCTAAAAAGTCTTTTGATTTTGTATGTGACCCTTTATAAAGTCTTTTGAAATTCTTTTGATTTGGCATGTGAATCCTTTGATTTGTGTGTGTGATTGTTTTATGGTGTTTAAATTCTGCTTTTTGTGATTGGGTTCTTCCGTTCTGGATCTGGCAAATAAGTAATTGTTTTATAGTCCAATCTGTTTTTCCTAACCCTTTGTACTTGTTTGTTCCCTATAATTAATCAGTTTGCTATTACTGTGTTTTAGTGAATATCTCCTTTTGTCGCGTGTTTAAAATTCTAATTACTTTGGCTTGATTTCTTTTGCTTTTTGGGTGTTTGCTTTTTTCTGTGTCCCATGCCTGTTTGGGTGTTGCGGGCTGCTGTAATTTTGTCCTTCCTTTGTTGTGGAAAATAAGAGTGGCTTCAGCTTCTTAATCGCCCATTGACAAAGGTGGAGGCTCAATCTCTGCCCGAGTTTCTGCTTCTATTTTCTTGTAGGGGAATTTTCCTGCCCTTTTAACATCTTTAAATTTCTTTTTCTTTTCCTCGGAGAAGAGTGAACCATAACTTCCGAAGTGTGTTTTGCAAACTCCTCTCATTTAATTCGTTGGCTTTTCAGCGTATTTTGCTTATGTAAAAAATGAGCTCATTTAAGCAAACAGGTTAAGCAAGCTGTGCTTGCGTTTCAGGATACGTTTGTCCATGGTTAACAGTTTAGGAAGTAATACATTCTCTGAGTGTACACGCTTCATGCAACTATAAAGCAACAGGGCTGGTTGGGCTTTCGTAACATGCCGGGCTGAACCCTATGAGGCTAATCTGTAGTTTAGCGTGCCTGCAGTAGAAACGCAGCCCAGTGCCAGATATTAACATGGCGGTAGGCGGCATGGGCGGCTTGATGTCATCCTGATGCGCGAAGTGGGCGGTGCTTGTCCTTGGGAATGTCAACCCAGCGGTGAAAGCCGAAGTGTCGGCAGCAGCAGAGCTGCACGTGGTTACACCGCCGAACTGCGGAGAGGTTACCTCTCATCCATCGCTGGCCTCGTGGTAAGTAGGAGAAACACCTCCCCGGCCAGAAGCTGCTTTTCTAGCGTTAGAGCAAAAAGCTTTCCCTGCTACTTCCCTGATTATAGGCAAAGATGCTACACGTGTTTAGGGCTGTTTTTCTTTGAGCGTTTCTCATGAGCAGGGAATTTAAGTATGTCCGTCCCCTACCTTTTGCTTCCTCGCACAGGTAGAGAGCCATGGGGAGGGGAGGTTGGGAATTCCATCTAGATGGGAGGCATTGTTTTCCCGTTCAGCTACAAGGAGCCCCAGGCAAAGTTGGGTAGCAGGTTGCTTTGCTGAAGATATTGTGGACCCCTAAGTGAGAATCTATGCAATTGCCTGGATCCCCTGAGGCTAAAGAAATTATATATGTCATTCCCGTTCTGTGGATTATCTGCCTTTTCTGGCTGGGTGCGCATGGGGTGAGACTGTTGGTATGCCAAACTTTTCCTAAGACACATAAAATACACTTGCCACTAGACATATTCTGATTAGTGCCAATTGTCTCTGCTACATCTGTAACCTGTTTGCCCCTGTAATTGTGTCAACGGGTGTAATTTCTTTAGAGATGAGCACAGAAGCAGTTTTCCACATTTGCTTGCAATATCTCTAAAGTAATTTAATTTTAGAGAAGGATATACAGTAAATCAAAGTCATCCAGTGAACTTGTAGGGGAGAAGTTGATTGAGAGTAAGGTTTCACTGGCCAGCAAGTTTTTTCAAATTCAAACAATATAGAGGAGAAGCTCTATGATGTTTGTGTTCAATCACGTGTGACTTTTTGTGACTGGATCAAC